TGAATTTGAAGCCTCCAATCCATTGTGGTACGTTTAATTGTTCACCGCTGTTTGAATAGGTTCCTCTTTGCTTAATTCAATGGCCCACACTACAGCACGAATTATATATAGAAAAATGATCACGTTCATCCTGTAACTGTTGGATGCCTCACATAAAAATTACTAATGACTTGATGTTTAAACTACGAATATTTAATAGCGCTGAATTTAACGACGAAGTAACATGTTGATAAATCAATTTTTGAATAGACATTTAAAGGAGTGTTTCTGAAAAGAAACTCTTCACACAGTTGCGATTGTAAAACAGCGTGAATAAAAAAGAAAGGGATGTTTTGCTTCAGGACTGAGAGGGATTAAAAATGTATGGCTTTATTAATCTTGTGAATTGAGTAAAGCAAGAAAGGAAATATGAAATTAATTATGCACGAGAAAATTATTTCTTGGCAAAGGATTGCATTGCGAGGCTTTGTTCCAGCCAGGTTCGACTGGAACTACTTATGCTGTTGTAACCCGTTAGACCACCTTGACGTTCATGATTCCAAATTTGAGGGTCAATGAAAGCCACAGTATGCAATAATATTGCACAAATAAGAGTCTTTATGCACACCCCTGAGCTTAACATGTTCCCTGTTTGCCCGGTTTGTTCGTGACATCCATATAAGGAAGTGCGTTAATTTGTGTTTTCTAAGAACATCTGACTCAACGCATTTCAGACTATTTGACAAAGAACGGTATCACCTGGATCAATACAATAACCTAAAATTTATAACACTCCAGAAAACCAGCGGAAAATTATAACAGTTATCATGTTTGCTGATTTAGAAGTCGTTTCAGGCCGTTGCACTTTAACTTACATGAATGGAGCATTTTTCATCGCTGTAAATTTCTTGTTAAGCGTGGTTGGAAGTGTCGGGAACATTCTGGTATGCCTAACTGTCCTGCTTACACCAAACTTGCGAGTTGTGTCAAGTTTCTGCATTGTAAATTTAGCTCAAGCCGATCTGATGGTAACCATGGTAGCTCAGCCATTAGCTATTTCGATATTCGTTGGTAAACTTGACGGAACATGTTACGTGAGAGCTGAATACGCTGCTCGCTTTATTGGAAACTTGTCATGCGCAGTTTCTGTTTTGACTTTGGCCACAATGAGTTTCGAGCGATGTTTCGTAATTCTCAAACCCATGAAATATAAAGCCACAATCACTCCAAGATTTCTGAAGTCCATTTTGGGTTTTAATTGGTTATTGGCCTGGATCGTTCCTTTCTTAGACGCATTTGTCGAGGATAAACTTGTGTACATATATTTCATTCTTATTGGCATGACTGTCTTGTATTCAGTTGTAATTGTGTGTTACTCAGTAATCTTTATAACTGTTCGAAAACGAAACGTCCTGAGGCAAAGAGAGCTTCAAGACCACCAAGCCGCAAGCGGCGGAGAAAAAGATAAAAAACTGGCAATAACTATTGCACTTGTCATAGGTTTCTTCACAATATGCTGGGCATCTTTTGGTTTTCACGTCGCGACTAACCCCCAAAAAAACTATGGTGTAAGTTACATAGCAACTGTTACGGCTAGTTTTGCAAACTCCGCCATAAATCCTATCATATACTTTTACCGAAACAGAGGATACCGCGATGCTTTGAGAAAAATTCTCTGTACGCGTTGTCGCAGAAACGTTGTCACACCGTTAGCGCCGCTGCAAAATATATCTGGCAATTCAACTCCCGCAAATATGAAAAGAGTAGTCCTCAGTGAAGTAATATGTAACAGGTGCATTTGAAAGAAATTTGTCTCCGAAAATTTCTCAGTTTGTTTTCTTTCCCTGATGCGATGACGGCACCTCTCAGAATTAAGACTCATCATGGACACCTAATCTGATCCTTATGCACATTTTTTCCTGTTTCTAGCATCATGTTTGGTCTTTGTCATTTACGTACTTGATAGTCGAGCACCTTGGAAACCTGTAACAATTCTTGAGCAACGTTGGGTTGAGAAATGAATAAATTCAAGACAAAGAACAGATACGTGCGTGAATTTAATCCCAAGTCTGTCCGAGTTTCATGAGCTATTGGCTTTTCCAAAATTAATAAAAAACGCCAACTACGTTTTAAAAATTGGCCAAGAATATAATGCTGCTTCTTGTCCATACCGGCATACATTTTTAATGCTCTGGGTTGGAGGCAATCTTACGTCTCAAGACCTACATTTTAAGGGTTTTTTTTTCTAACTTATGCAGAGCACCGTCCCAGCTGTTTCGCTCACAAAATATATTTATTTGTTTCTCTCAACTATTATGAATGGTAGGTAAATTGATTCCTTCATTTTTTATGGGATCCTCCTTCAAAGCAACGACTGAGTCATGTTAACTAAATTAGTTTTTGTGTTCTTGCCCAATGTGTGGAGCGCTTACTGATTTGAGAGAATATCAGCTAACAGTTAAACATAATTTCTATGAATCTTTATTTGTCCTCTTCCTTCTTTGTAAAAATAATACATCGCCTGTTTAAATAACTAGAGCTTGACAACTTCGTTAAACAAACATTTGGTGGCTCAAGCAAGATAATTCCCCGCTGAGTAAATTGAAATGGATAAGCTGGCAGAGCAGGTGATTAGTTGCAACAATTTTAAATTTAATACTTTGCTCCCCATTCGTCCCTTATAGAAAGCTCTGTTCCCACGTTTAATGTCTACGAATCTCACTATCGGCATCTGCAAGTATCCTCAAGTTTTAAAACAGACAAAGCGATAGAAACCGTTTTATCCGAGAGAAGAAGGATTTCAGTTTAATTGAGTCAGCCGTAAAGAGGTTCTTTAACGTTGTATGTGAACTATTTTCAAGTCAGTAAATCAGTGATAAAGGATTTGAAATAATTCTAATTGTGTGTTTCTTTTAACTATGAATTTTTTCAATCTCTTCTTAGAAGTACGTTCCACTTAGAACTAAGAAGAATAGACATTCACTTTTTTCCGTGAAAACAACATAATGTGGGTGTTATTTGCAAGACCCAACAGCTAACTTCAAATGCACTTTTAAGGACAGATAATTCACTGCGGCGGCTCCAAAGACATCGAACGGTTTGCAGGACTATATTAGGAAAGAACGATTTTGATATGGTTCACAGACGCACTATTTTGATATGGTTCACAGACGCACTATTTTGATATGGTTCACAGATGCACTATTTTAAAGAGGCCTATAGCGACCTGTCTTAAGCTCTTATAGGTTTTTTATTTTCTACTCTTATTTTCAACTCTCTTTTATTTCGTACTTGTTATGAGTTATGCTGAATTACCTATTGTGAAGGAAACGTAACAAATGATTAAGCTTTAGTTTATAGAGAGCATGTAATATAACTATTGTTTTAGTCTTATTCGAGTGTTATGCGCATTTGNTATATATACATATATAACAATAATATTCTTTTCCTTTGGTTGTACCGAGCGTAACTCCTGCGTGATAAGATAAGATAGACGAATGTTGAACAACTACATTGCTTATTGTTGCTAAACATTATTACTAACAATGAGTGTATTATCGCTAATGACGAGTTCGTTGTCGGGAAATACAATTTAGTACAGATATATATTTGCCTCCCCGAGCGGTGAGCTTCAGGAAAATTCTCATTACTGCGAGAAAGGAGAAACACATACCGTTCTGTCTTTAAAAGCAAAGGCTATGGTTTGAATAAACTTCTTCGGACAGAGAGCTGGGAATTCGTTGCATCCTACCAAAAGCTTTAGAAAAGTCTGGAGAAAATCCAGTCACTGATCTTGATGAAGGAAATGTATCAATTGTTTAGGAAGAATTAATTGCCTTCGCATCTTTTAGAACCTGCAATTTTTTGTATGCTATATTAAATGTTTAAAATCAGAACATTGCAGTCACAAAAGAGCTTGAGTGAACTGTATGATCAGCTGACAGACATTTGAGGCAGAGTTTATGCAGGAAAAAGTAATGAGAAGACTTGGAGATGTGACGGAATTCACACAAAAGAAGACAAACGCTAAAAGAAGACAAAGCCAACTGATAGATGACAAAATCCGAGCAAACCGAACCTCCAAGACAATGAAGATATTCTTGCCTTGTCCACAGTCCTAAACTAGGGTTATGTCGCTCGAGATCCCGAGTTATTATGTGGTTAGTTTACATTCATGTCTTGATGAAAAATTGAGAGCCTTAGAAAGATAAACCCATAAAAAAAAACAAAACAAAAACAGTTTGAATGCAGTACAGCAAAAAAAGGGTCGTGGAATGATTAATTTTTCATTTGACAATGCAAATTAGATTTTGTAGTTCTTGGTTTGCTTTGAGGTCCCAGTATTATTAACGAGGTGATCCGTCTCTTGTGCACGATTGATTATTAACACCTTAGTCGGAAAACGTCTGGGACTCAATTCTTTAAAACTGCTCCTTGAAAAGATTGAAAAAAAAAGTTTAGCAGGAAATCCAGTGACTTGTAGACGGTAATTAAATGACTTTTTTCATTTTAAAAGCCTCTGTCGTGTTGTTTACCTTTTCCAACAGACCTGGCCCGCCGAATGGCAATCGGTGTCCCAATAAATATAATAAAAATGGCTGTTCCAACAGCTGCTAGCACTATCATCAACATAAGGATCGAAAGTCCTTCATTCGTTCTATTGTCTGTTCCTTGTCGCTTCTTTGTCCCTTGTATAGAAGACATAAAAGCAACTATAGACACCCTTAGTTTTTCCTCAGTGGAACTTTTAAGGGCTAATGCAAACAAAGAAATGAAATTTTTCAACTAATCAAAATTTCTGGTCAATTGTTTCGAAAATAAATTATGATACCTTTCTCTTTTGTCGTAATTCTTTCGTAATCAGAAACACTATGTCCAGCCGCATTTGTCGAGTACACTCGAACCAAGTAAGTTATGTTGGATTGGAGTCCTCTTATTGTGCAGTGATTGATAGCTATGTCGAAACAGTTAAACACGTACAGGGTTGTTCTGGTTGATCGCTTGAGCCATGTAATTCATAACAAAGCTTTCCTCTGCTTGTGAAAGGACTTTCCATGAGACTCGGATGAAAAAACTTCTGCTTTCCAAACGGTTGGGACTGGATGAACTGGACTTGCTATCGATTGAGTAGATAACCAGGTCAATATAGGAAGTAGTACATGAAAAACTTTCCCTAGTAGTTTTTGAACAATACATTCTAATTACCCAACTGATCTACAAATTAACTGAGGTCACTCCCCCCGGAAAAAACTTCTGGTTTATCTTGGATAGGGAGACCAAGGTTTATTAGATGTGACATTTTGCAAACCTGAATCTTTTATTGCTTTTTGAATAGGGTAAGTTAATCGTCATCAAGCACTAAAGTCTAGATTAAAGAACTATTGGTGAAGACTTCTCTCAACAGAAGAGATTCCCAGTGCTTAAGTGAAATTGATAGTGATTGTGGCCAAAGACTTTTTTGAGCAAATAGGTTTTTGATTGCGTAGTTTGATCGTTTTGATGAGGATAAGTGTTTTCGGTGATAGAGAACGACTTTTCGACAACCACAGCAAAAGTCAAGCCAGGAATTGTCTGACAGTCGAGCATCATATATCTGATTCGTTATCGGTCAGTTTTGTCGCGCTGAATGACGAGTTGAAATAAAACCTTAACTTTAAACGTGTTAGCTGCATTATTTCTTGAAATGTCTGAATTAGAATCTAATAGAATGAAAGAAATGCAGTTGCTCTAACGATCATCTGAACAATGATACCAGAACAGCTATTCGACTAAAGAGAAGTAAATACTGTCTAATACTCTCTCAATGGCTATGATGCTTTAGACACATTACTATTGAATATACTTGTACTTACACCAGATATTTACTGTAAAGGTTTTGGAGAAGTTTCCCAAGAAGTTACTTGCCGTGCAAAGGTAGACTCCAGCATGAGATTTCTGTGCATTTTTTATCAAAATCCGTTCGTCCCAACTGCCAAATGTTTGATTGGTACCCAACAATAGCCCATTTCCATGATGGCGTCATGTAACTACAACTACCAGAATGCCCTGTGTATTTTCATTCTTATCCAATTTTTTATTCATATTGAAGATTAGCATAATAACTGTGACCACTTCTTTCACAAAAGCAAAGTCGGAAAAGCATTCTGGTACTTGTAGTTATTACGCCATCATGCAAACGGCCTATTTCCAAGTAAAAGCTGGTTGAGGGTATCCGTTACCATGACAATAGAGGGTGAGTTTATGACCTTCCTTAACATTGACGTTTGGCCCAGTAGTGTGTGTGATTGTCGGGGGGTCATCAACGTAATGAGCAAAAGAGTAATCGTACCTCATTTTATGAGAAAACAAATGTGACAAGGAAACTAAATACATTGTTAGATAATTAATCATCGAGAAATGACAAAAAAGCAGAGATAAAAGAAAAAAAATTCTCTCTGCTGCCTTCTACTCTACTGCCTTCTACTCTACAACTCTCTCTTGGTGTGTAGCTATGATCAGCGAAATTCCAGAAGGAAAGTTGATAGATAGTTTCATGATTTTTCCTCTCCTTGTGAATACCATTTTTCTCTTGTTTTGCGCTTGGGGCTTTTTTTAAAATCAAAGGAAAAATTCCGGTTTCTTCTACTTCTCATGATTTTCCAAGGAGAACAATTATCTTTTGCACCCTCAAGAATAAGTTTACTTACAAAATACGTTGAAAAACACAACGACTTTGGTGGGTGCCGATGGTCCACTATTAGCCGAACACTGGTAATCTCCTGTGTAATTTTGCTGGACAGACTTTATCAACAGGAGACCTCGG